AGGACAATTTTTTCCCCACTTACATCTTATTACAAGTAGAAGCAAAAACTTCCCGGTGGTTGCGGTTACGTTAAAAGGGTCGAATATATATAAAAATAAAAAGTGTACACAGGCCTAATAACAACAAGAAAGAATCAAGAGAAAGGAAAAAAAAGAAAGAAAAAGATTATTTTATCCGAAAATTAGTACTTGCCCAAAAGGTCCTATATATAGAAAATTTGTGTTTAGTTTAGCGTTATTCCTTGAGGATTCCTAAAGTGTAATTTTAATTATAGGTCTAATAAGATCATTTGGCATTGTTTAAATTTGTTTACATTATAAATAAACAATAAATTTGTCTGTTATTAGAAATTTGTATTTGCAATAATTGCCTGAAGCTATTTTCACACCCCAGATATGGACAATGACCTATCATAAACCTGCTTACCCATTTAGTGTTAATGGTATTTCACCTCAATAGACCTTGATAGTTTCGTTCATTATAATTGGAGACTTTCTATAGTAGGCCAGTTCTCGTAGCACTAAAGGTGCCCACTTAGCCCATTTAATAATTTTGACCAGGGCTATACACTCGGCCTCTGTGAAGGAAAATGCAACCAATTACTGCTTCTTTGTTTCCCAAATAAGTGGAAGGTCGTTGAGAATTATCAGTGTGACAGAACCAGGACTTAATGATCTTGCTCAAAGCCATAAATTGCGTCTAAGTAGTCTTGAATATCTAGTTTGCCCTTCCTGAAAGACCTTATATGAGAGTGGCTGGTGCCTTTCGGGTACCTAAATATGCACTTTGCTGCCTCCCAATGTTCTTTACCAAATGAATTGAGGTGCTGTGATAACTTATTCACCGCCAACTGTATGCCCAGTCTAGTGTGCATGTGGCTAGATACTGTATTGACCATACTAATTCCGGCTAGGAGTACCATCCTGAAGCTTACTTCAGTTTTTCCAAATGAACGTTGTGCATAGGGAATTGCACAGACTTTCCCTCATTTAAAATCGTAGTTAAATAAGAGATCATTAATAAACTTTAGGGCCAATTCTAAATGATCAACGAAACACTTAAAATTTAGTCCTAGGAAAATCGAATTTTTGGGGGTCCCGGTGCTTCCAGCAATTTTTTTTTCTCATTGGGTCACGGACCCAGCTCTCCTCGTTAGAAGTCATCGACGTAGATCATGACTATGACTACTGAGCTCCCTCGGCGGTATATGAACAAGCAAGGGCTCGTTTTATCTCTTTCATACCGAGTCCAATGAGCTTGTGCACTGTGTGCTTAAACCATAATAACCCTGCTTATTTGGTACCATAAATGCCGTTTAAGGTATTTCTTATCATCCACCAAAGGTATAATAAATTTGAAACCTACTGGAACTTTTAGGTATATGGCGATCCATGTTGCTATATGCAAACGTGCCTTTTTTTACATCGAACTTACACCCAGTAGAGTTGATGTTTCTCTGTTAAGCCTGTATATGCAGTCCTCAACATGTTAACAGCATACATTCTTACCAAAAAAAAATTTTCAATACCCTTTCGACCATTCCATTGGCTAGTGATGACTTGTAGTTACAAACTGAGCTTGAACACCTTTTTCAACCAGAAATCGAGATATGACCTTACTCGCAAAAATCGATTTCCTATCTGATGTTAAGCCTTTAAGGGACTTTTCTATGAGACAACTCTTTAAGGCAGTTTTCCCCTCTTCTGCTGTTAACCCTCTGAAGGAGAATTGTCCGCACAAGCCTTGAATATCAATCCAAAATTACACTCGTGAACCCGTTAACCACTTTTAACTACTAACTGTAGGATATGCCACCACCAATATTAAAGAATTCCTTTCCTTTCCTCGCCAGAACTTAATGTCGTAATTTTGCTCACTTCTTCTACAATTAAATATTCATCAGCTAAAAGCTTGGTCGTAAATCTGCAATAATAGCATTTTTACAGTTATATATTTCTATGTCCATTAAATATTGCTCATTGTATAATTAATTCTATAAATGTTTTTACCCCTTACAGTTTCAACATCATTCTTTACATCAAAGCTCCAAGTAGGCTTTTATGACCTGCTTCAACTATAAGTTTTTTTTTTTCACTTAATTAAATGAAGTCTATTGGCTTGTTATTAGCGATGTTGATTATATGATTCCAGTTACAGTGCGCAGTTAAAAAAGGGTAGATTCCACATAACTGAAGGTATGCTCTCTGCATTTGTATTAACAGGTATAGATTTAATCTACAGGATTATTTTAAAATTGTGTATTTGCATTCATTTTAACTTAATAAAAACAAGATCCGATTCTCTCGTTTGTGGTATCTTATCAATCTGTAGAACTGCTGTAATTATCTAAAGAGCAAGTTTAGATATCGTGTTGGTCTATAGGGCCGTAACTATCTAAAGGATAGTTTATTGGGAGCCTAACGTCTAAAGGGAGGTGTTATTATTAAAGGAGACTAAAGCTTAAAAAAAGGAAATTTTAAACAGACCAAGAGACAAAGTCTCCATATACGTTACTCTATACCCCCTTTGAGCATCATACAATTTTCTACTCACAAATGCTATATAGTTCGAGCGACTCCCATATCTTTGAAAAAAGGCACCTCCAACTTCTATATATTCGACACATATTTTACAACTTAATAATCCTCTTGTTCACCAACTTTTACAAATTTAACTTTTTTGACAATTACCCAGCGGCTGGTAATTACAGAACGGTGAGGAATGTAATTACTCCAGTAATTTTTTAACATGTCCCTGAACGCTTAAATGCAAGTTTCTCCTATTCTGACACTCGAGTTGGTAAACCCTCCCCAGACATTGCTTTTGACTCCTGACGAACTTCCATTTCCCTAACCACAGTGCTTTAAACTGTTCGTTCCTATAGTATTCAAAAAAAAAATTTTTTTAGCCTTACGTATCATCCAAAGAAAGAGAGAATTATGCCGAGTCCTAGTGTTAACTCTGACGAAAACCGCACAATCTTTGCTTGCAGCGACAAAGGATGACGGAAAATATGTGTTAAGGAGAGTTAATATAGAGTTACACTGGAGGGTGCACGCTATCCTTAATGAGTGCCAAGCAGGAAAATATTAATACCTTGCAAGATGACAATATTTTGTGAACCGCTTAGATCGGTTCTTAAAGCCCAGCGAATTAGTTGATGAACACTACAAGAATATAATCACAGCGAAACTTATTAAGAAGCCAAGTCCAACTAAGCTGGTAGATGCAGAGAATTGATGACTAGGCCTTGCTAAAAGAAAATTTGCGGATTACTAGACATGTGGCCATGATTATAATGCTCGTTTCCGTATAACGCAATAAAAACTTAAATTTTCCTCCCGAAGTGTTCAACTGTAGCGCCTACAAGAAAGGTTGCGAGAATAAACAAGAACTATTTATTGACATAATCACTGTGTTGCCCACCAAATGTACAAACACACAACCGTATCAACGGCCAGTTACTAGGCTACACTGAGCGAAGCACACACCCCAGCCGAGTCCAAAGAACCCAAAGAATAACTGCTTACGAGGCCCTCGCCAAAGATACTTATACCCCTTTTCCAAGGCACATCCCACGAAAAATCCCGAACGTTCAGGAACATACCGCTAACATCAGCAAAAAAAATTAAAAATATATTTTACTTTATACCAACTTTCCACCACAATTTTTGCTATAGTATTGACTTAAATTTATTTTTCTACAACATAAAATTTTCGACTACAGTGCGATTGAACAATTTGAACTTCTTTTACATCACCTCAAACGGGTGGCTATGAAAATGTTTTGCTTGAAATAGAGAACATCTAACATTCTAATAACTAAAGGTTTACATCCCTGCAATAATACAAACGACCTAAACATTTTTTAATTTCACCTTGAAATTTGGACTTAGAATAATAATAAATCAAATAAATTTTTGTGATTTGCAGATTTAAGTAGGCATTTAAACTCATCTTATTTTTATCGGAATTTTTATTTAGCCTTTTTTAGAAAAAGACGGTGCCCAAACGAGTGGAAGTAGCTCTTTGCCACTTAGTTAATATTAAGTCGTAGAAACAGCATGGTGGCAACTTATTTCATTTTTTTTTAATTTAAAAACTTCACTCTCTTCTTGCATTTGGCATAGGAGAACCTCCCAAGTTCTTGAGCTCGGACTTCAACGTTTTTTGCTTATATTTGCATTACTGTTGTTTGGTAAGGCGGTTTTTACTAGTATGTACGGTTCTAGGTGTACTGAGTTTATACGTCCCCTTCATCGTCTCGCTTTTTTAAAAGCCATTCAACGATTTTGAGTTTAATCGAAATGCTGCAGGATGTCTTTGCGTTTATTACCAAATTTTAGGCTGTCACTTCAGAACAATTAATATGCAGTCAGACTAAGTAAAAAATTGAAATATTGGTAACCTTCCATTCGTTAGTTTCTTGCGAAAATTATAACTGAGAGCTCTTTAAGTGGACGATGGGTCTCAAGAGGATATTTTAATAAACCGTTTACTGCAATGACTTCAGAACATTCATCAACTTATATATAAATATTTATATACGGGAAATAAGGGAAGAAAAAAAAATGTTAAAAGATTATTATTTAAGAGCATAGCTGTGACCCTAGGGTTTTCTAACTTTGTAAAGAAAACACCTCCATGATCCCCTCAATAGAGACTAAATTTAAATCAAGCGGTTTAAGTTATAACAGATAAACGGCTGTAGTACGTTAAAACGATAAATAAATTAAAAATAAAGATTGAACTAGTAACATTTTTAAGAGGCATTATATCTTTGTAAGCCTTTATTTTAAAAGTGAAGCTTTTACAACTTAAGACTTGGGTCTATATTTTAAAAGTCCCCGTAATAGCAAACTTTATTATATTATTCCCTAATTAGTACTTTATTAGTTAAGGCTGACGGCCTTTCAAATATGTATATGGTAAACGAGAAGGTGTTTTATGTTTTTTAAGAGTACAAAGCTACTTGGCTCCTACCCTTTACAAGATCCAGAAATAACAATATTAAAGAATACCAACTATGCCTGAAGAAATTTATAAATTTAAAGTTGACATGGTGTGCGAAGGTAACAATTTTTTTAAATATTTTTTAAAACCTGCTAACTTTCTTGAAAGAGTGTAGTAAAGCAGTAAAAGATCTCCTTAGTAAGTTGGAAGGTGTTACCGATATAACAATTGATAGAGGTTCACATTTTTCTTGATTGGTTTACTTTCTAAATATCATACTTTATTAATAGTTCACAATATTGTGTCTGTTAAAACTGCTCGTTCAAAAGAGGAAGTTTACAATCAGCTTCAAAAAAGTAATAGAAACGTCGAAAGTCTTTGAGAGCACCTTTTATTGCGCTAACCGTAAATAAATAAATGGTGCAATATCGTTTAGTTTATCGAGTATATAAAAGTATACAAATAATTTCAAAATAAATGGTAGTTACGACAATTACGTTTTTACTTTTTTACAATGATGTATGCTAGCATAAAGGCAACTCACCCCTATTAAACTATAAATTCTAATTTGGCAAGAATTTTGCTGAGCTTCCATTTTATACGACGAAAAAGACTTTTAGGGCTTGACCACCAAGCTCTATTTAAACGCTTTGTTTGCTCTCCAATAGTATAACGTAGACTTCTTCACTTTTCTTCTATTAGGCTGTTTTTATCTCTTTTTACAAAACTGCACTTCTCACTCGTATTTTTTCTTAGTTGCCATCTTTTTGCTTTAATTCTAATTAAGAACGTTAGAGATTCCTCTGCTTTATTTTTGCTCGCCTTCAATATTTTACTACTACTTGCTTTGGATCTCGATTTAACTAATACGTCCTGGTAGTGTATTCGGCCAGTTTTTATTACTTCTTTTTCCTGGAATTTTGGTGCTGGAAATTATCCTTTTCTCTACTTTTCAACCGAGAATGTAGTTGCAATTGCGCTCACCGCTTAACGCCTAGTAATTATACTGCGTTCCCATCTATAATAGGATTACATAACGGCAACAATGATATTAAAATAAAGTACCTTAACTTATTTTTTACTGGTAAAACCACTTTTTTAAATTTTTTTCTCCACATTTTGTGTATTGACATTACCTTTGTGAGCATCTAAAGTAGGTGTGGTTGAGGTAGCGATTTTAGAGTAATCTTTATTGTCCACCTCAATAAAGTTGGGGGAAGCGGTACCCAAATCTTTATTTCTCACTTGAACAATTCCATATCACAGTTCGAAAGTAAAGTTTTTTTGTTAATAAAAACTTCTGCATCTCCAAGGTTTTCCGTAAGGTCGACAGAAGTGGTGCCCAATTTTTTATTAATTAATAACTGTTTACTAGAATGTAGCGGTGCAGTAAGCCACTTTTTCTTTTTTTTTCTCTCTTAAACAACTTCTAATTTACTATCCGGAAGTTTTTTCTTGGTAAAGTTAACTTCAAGATCTTCATGACTCTCACGACTTTAAGCCAAGCAAGCACTATTTTTCAAAGTCTTTGGAGTAAAACTTTTCATATTTCTCTTTTCCTTCTGGTAATAAGTTGTTTATATCCCAGCATTTTTTTTTAAGGTTAGATAATGAAACGTTTATAGGCTCATAGCTTTTGTTTTCTTTATAAAGAAACTCGTAGTAAATGTTTTCAAAGCAAAAGTTTTGTAATTTTTAAGCTTCTGGGTGTCGATTACTTTTTGATTATTCTAATTCATTATTAATTTTAAGTAGATTAGCTAAAGTTGTGTTTAGAAGTTCATCTTTTATAAATTCCGTAAAGTTGTCGAGGCCGAAATCTATAAGGCCGAGTGCCGAAGGGCCACGATCCAATTTTATATGGCTCTTTGGTAATGCATACTGGTTATCTTTGTGTAAAGTCGGCGCTGCAGTTGGTGAATCATGCCGAGATGAGTCAAGGCCACAGCAAAAGGAATTTTCCGCGCATGGACGAATTGGGAGGAACTTTGTCCTTCTAACGCATTATGTACTCTTTATTAAAAAATTTTCTGTCTAAAGTTTTGAGAGCTAACGCTTGTATGACCAAAAGACCACTTTTTAAGGCCCATATATTATTTAACAAAACATATGACTTTGCTTTCGAACTAAATCCTTCAATGAAGCACTAAAACTGTTTTTCTGGTATACTTAAAAAATTATGATTTTTAAAGAAAATGGTTTCTTTAACAGTAGCTATTTTTAAAATGTCTTCCTTACTGCGTCTACTCCGATTATTCTCGTGCAAATCCTTAAAAATAAATTCTCTAAACACATTAGGGATGAAAGGTACGCTAAAAAAGACGTTTTTAGTGGCCTCCACTACACTTTGACTGGAATTCTTATTTAGTTGACAGATTTTTTGCTGAGAAATCAGTCTCAGCCTCCTTTTTGAATCTCGTTGCGATTTTAATTTGTATGGAAAAATCTCCACTTCGTCTTAGTATTGCAAGAACTTTTGAATTTTGGAAGGCGATTCGTCCAAAGCGGGGGTGCAAGTATTGTGGTTTTCGAAAGTAGTAAGTCTTAAAGGAATTCGATAATTTGGTTCTTAAGAATGGAGGAGATTTTCCCGAGAGAGGAGTTAAAGAATTGAGAAAAGAGGAATTATTATTCAAAGAAGATTCCAAGTGCCTATAAAAAAAACGGAGGTGTGGCAGTGCAGAATTGAAAAAGCACTACAAAATTATAAGAATAATTTGAAATAATGATACTTTCACTGGAGGAAAATGTTTAAAAGTTCGCTAGGAGAATCTAAGATATGTATCATAGAAAAAATAAATTTGAAAAGTTTTTCTTATCATGATAAAAAGGGGTGCTTGCTAAAACTTCATCAAAGGCGATTTTGTTAAGTGAGTTTCTATGATTATATTTAAAGCCTAGCCTTATTACCAACTTCTAAATTTAAATCACTTATACCAGTAAACTTCTTCTCTTCAAAGAGCGATCGTAATATGTGGTGTATACTGTTTAAAAAATAATACAGAAAAATAAGTAGGGCGGGCTAGTAGCAATATTCTTACAAAATTCTTGAGGAAATTTTAAAGGTGTAGATTTATAGAGCCATCTTTTGTATATCCTTTTAAAAATGCGTATAAATAGCTTTTAACATCCAATAGTAGACCTATACCTTTTTTATTTTCCCTTTACCTCAAAACTGAACACGCCAATAGAAATGACAAGAAAGTCGCGGTCTTTAAGTAAAACTGCTCCTTCTATTATCTTTCCATTGATGAAGGCGGACTTGTGCTCGTCTATGTGTCCTAACCAAACCTTTATGGAAACTGTAGATGAGAAGTACTACATATTATATATTTAGTAAAATATTTTTCTGCTTGTCAGCAAGCAGGCGGACAAGCAAGTAATCCGACATCAAGTCGCTGAATTCTTGCGTCACATTCTTTATTGCTTATATAAATTGAAACAAACATTAAGGTTTACTGAATTGAAGTTTTTATTCAGTGTCACAAAACTTATAACCTTCCTATAGTTAAAAGCGGTTCTTTAAGTCCGTTTTTTACTTAGAAAGCTCTGGTGGCACGCTTACTGTGACATTAATTTTTAATAATTTACAATTTTGATTGTTGTGCGGTTAGAGAAGTATTGGCAACGTTGTAAATACCAGATAAAGGCAAGTGGGTATCCGAAATTAGATAAGATTATACTGTAAGTGTATATAAGCCCCTCTTAAGAACGGGGAGCAGTCTTTTTAATTTGGTCCTCCGGTGGGCGTGTGAGTAACACTGGTTCAAAAAATTTGGGGCGGAAGTCTTGCCTGATTAATAAAAATTAACTGTAAGGGCGGAGTTCTACCCCTAATGAAATTTTCAATATGCAGTATAAGCTTAAGATCATTAGTTACTTTTTTATAATTACAATCTTTGATATAAAGGAAAAGGATTCCAACTTTTAAAATAGAGGAAACATAGGCAACTTTTTTATATTCCTCAATTTATTAGTTAGTAGCCTACCTTAACCTCGAGAAAGGGTAACTTCGGAAAACCTTATGAAATTTTGTGAACTGCGAACGCATATAATAAGAAAAAGTTATTAGTGTATAAATCCTTATAACGCAAATTGAGATATTTTAACAAAAACGGGGTTTAAAGCAAGTTTTAACTAAAAAACGCTTGTCTCCTGAAACTAGTTAACTTTATTAAATAAGTTATTCTTTTTAATTAGTAGTAAATTTGTATAACATTTTATATATAAATTTTTCCATAGCAAATTTACAAGGAGCAACACCATTTATAAGAAAAGCTGAGCACTTTTAACAAATGAACAATGTTTTATACATAATATTAGTCTAACGGTTAGTTTCCGCTTAAAAGTAAAATTTAAGTATATTTTTTTTTTAAAAACTGATTGACTTAAAACTAATTTTAAGGATTCAGATTTATAGAAAAAGCATTTATTACACAACTATTTACGTGGAAAGTGCACGGAATAGTAACTTAGAGTAATTTAAAAAAAAGTAATTTACTTGCACGATCAACCCTATCACCAAGGTGTTACCGCTAAGAAGTCACTGTTACCACTGCGCTAAACTTGCATTTTCAAATTCTTATCTTTTCTAGCTTTTAACGCAATGTCTGGATACCTGTTAGTTACTATTTTTGCTTATTGCCCTAGGCTCCCTTACAAAATTAAAGAATTTTAATCTCATTCTTACTTACCTTCACATTAAAGCTAGTAATAGACGTGAATGGCTAAAAGTTAAAATTCTAAAGTATAAACCCGTTAAAAACTTCCTTAAGGCCGGCCTTAAAAAAATAAAGAGAGATTAAAAAAGCCGTTTGAAGTTTAAGAGTTTCCCCAAACAGAATTTTCTTTTTCTTAGAGTAAAGAAACTCAAGTTAAGGGCCAGGAGGATAAGCGAATTAAGCATTGTACAAAAGGCGCAGGACTCACTGTAGTCTAAAATAAATAGACAAGGAAGGGGGAAGTTAAAGGGCATAACTTACATCTTACGGATTAGCTTTACTTTATTTCATTTTTCTAAAATCAATATTTAGAGAGACACCTTTAAATCCGGAGAGAACTAAAATTTTTCTCAGTAGTGGAATAGCAATTCAATTATAGTAATAACAAAGATACAATCCGGCTAAGATCGGTAGCCTCCTTGACATTACTACTATTCCATTGTTAAAGTTTATTAAGTAACAAAGTAAATATATAAACTAGTTTATATCGAGCCAAGGTTATTTAATCAAAAATTCACACAACTTAAATTTAACTAGAATAAGGGGGTAGTGGTCTTTCGCCTAATATACGTTTTTAAGAGGAAAAAAGTTTCTTTAAGTATCACGGCAAGTTGGCAGGAATCGTAATTATAAAAATTATTATACAAGAGGTAGTCTGGAGGTACAATTTATTGTAATATATATAAGTTAATCTAGAGCAATAGCGTTTTAAGAGTATGCTCTAAAAGTTTATAATTTGAGTACAACTATATGGAAATATGTAGCTTTTGACTTGACAAGTACTCTTACTTTATAATTAAAATATATTACGAAAAAATTGTTATTCATCAATAAAAAAATCTGATTCGATGCATTCCCAAAAATGTTTTAATTTGGTTTTGAGAGATTCTTCATGTCTTCCAACAAGGAAAAAAAAGATGCTTTCATAAGAACCAGCCGCCTCATTTCGGAAGCGCTTATTTTCAAAATCAATTATAATATACTGAAAATTCTCGTTAAGTATTGAAGAGCAAAAAGATGTGAGCCCCCATTTGCTTACTAAATATTCTATATATGCCCATCGAGACGAACTGTGATTAATAAAGATATGGTTTATAGTTTAATATAAAATTAATTAAATTTATTTATTAGTAAATAACTTTTAATTTAAAATACAAAGATAAATAAGTATTATAAATCACTTTAAAACAACCATATTAAAATTAACTCATGTCTTTCAGTAGATAATAATGTAAAGTATCTTGTTAATTTTTTACACATCTCGTGGAAAAAATTAAATTCTATTCTTTATTATTCTCTCGTTAAAAAAAACAGAATTACAATGATTTGTTTGTCCATTATTCGCTGAAGGGCGTTAAAAAAATGAATTCAAAATCTTACAACTTTTCTTTTGCTAACGATTTATACATAGAAATTCAGGAAAATGTAAAATTTTCTAAAGAATCTACAATTATAACTTTCTGAGTGGAAACTATACTTAAAACTTAATACCCTGCTTATTCTGATTTTAGAAGTAAAACTATCTCTTAATTTTAAAGCATGGAAATTTCTTTTTTTAATACGCTATGATACCAGAGTATGGCTCATTGTTGAAAGATAAAAACTTCTTTAACTATAAAAACTGAATTGAGGGGCTTATAAAAAAGCAATGTTACTAGATGCACTTTCGTTAAAGTAAAAAAGCTCAATAAAAAATAGGAAGTTTTTTAAATAATTAAAAGTGCCGTGTGCTGGCTTATAAATAGTTCATTTTCAAATTAAATTATCTTCAGTTCAAAGGTAAAAAGGTTTTAAGGAGAAGAATTTTTTTTAACAATTAACGACGCTGTAGTACGGGCTTATATAAAAAAGTAATTGTTGTTATCGAGCGCTCTCAAACCTTATAGGAAATTTTATACTTTATAACTCTTAGCAGAATTATTTTTCAAGGTAAAGGATTATTATTAAGCGCGATTTAATTTATGACTTTTAATAATTTTCAGGGGTAAATATTATTTTAAAATAGATGGAAGGTTGAAGGAAAAAGTTAACTTTAAATAAGTAATATTACAACTTTTTTATAAATAATATTTAAACTCTTTGAGTTTTAAGATATTTCCAAGGTTTTCTAAAACCTACTCAAACCGATCTTCAGTTAATGAAATTGAGAATAGTTGCGCTTATACGTATTATTTATAAAAACAGACATAATGGAAAAAGTAATTTAAAAAGATGTATTATCGTCTATAATACCAAACTACAGAATAAGCTAAAAAGAATCTAAGAATTTAACCAACAAAAATAATTGTTATTTATACTGAATATTCGGTTATTATCAAAGTACAGTTTAAAAATTAATAAAAGTGTTCATATAACAGGCCTTGTAATATACGTAAACACTAATCAGTAAAAATACACGCAGCGGTAAATACATACGCAACAACTAGTTTTTTTGTCGGTATAAAAACTTTTACAATTAAGTGCGCCAAAAAATATTTAATATTTATCCTAAATTTTAATAAAATAGAAATTGTCGTTATAAAAAGTGAAATGGAAAAAATAAAAAAAAAGCACTAAAATTTGGTACCAATAAGACACATCGATTCAATATTTTTATAAAGTAAGAATTGCGTGAAAAATAGTTTAAGTAAAAACATAGATTTTATAAATGAACAAGTTAACCGTTCAAATAATAATTATTTATCAGCATTATTTTTTTATAAACATTAAAATTTTTAATAAAACCAAGACAAATAAAAAAAATTTTGAAATATTTATTTTACAAAAAAATTAATAATACAACTAATGTAATTTTCATAGAAAAAAAGGTAAACTTTATATATAGTAAAAAAACAAAGCTTTTCAACATATAATCTTTTATATATTAAAAATAATATAAGCAAAAAAAATTATTACAAGAATTGGGGAAAAACAAATCGAAGAAAAATAAAAAGTAGGTTAATAACAATCAAAAAGCAAGAACAAAAAATTGAGACCTTCGGTTCTGATAAGTCATTAACAAGAAAAGATTCGGATTTTCTTGCATAAAGTAATAAACAGTAACGAAAAAATTTTCAAATTCTTTATACAAATTTAATATGATAAATAAATATATAAAGCTAAACCATCTAAAGAATAGAAAAATAACACTTCTTCATAGTTAAGACTCTATAGCTTACATGAAAGTCTGAATAAAAATATAGTTACCTTTTTTGTCATACAAACAATCAGAAGCCAAGATGATATCAAATAAAGGTAATTTTTTGTATAAGTATTTGTTATCAAAGCAACCCCACTTTATAGGAATTATAGGTAACTCTGAAAAAAAAAATTAAAATAGAAAAGTAATTGCTTAAAAAATAAATAAACTGTTAATATAAAAAATTATATATAAAGGAAGTAAGAAAACCCAAATTATTAGCTAGACAACTCTTATAACACTGTTGAATTGCAGGCCCCTCGAATGAGGTTTCAGAAAGAACAACTTGGCAGCCTATAAAATGAGCGAGGATGCCAGGGAGAGAAGTTCCTGCGCCAAGCTGAGCAGGTAGAGTAGAAAAAGAAGTCGAAGTCGCGATAAAATTAAAAGTGCGATTGAGGAATCACTGCTCTCAGGTTATTACTGTAGTTAGCATTATTACAAACATTAGCAACACCTACATAACAGCAGGTAAATTCACTATTAGTTAACTTCTGTTAAAGTTTATTATAGAATACTTTTTGATCTTTTTTTTTCCTTTTTAAAAAAGGCAGAACCTGTATTTTACCCTTATATTCAGTTCTTCGATAATTTTTAATAATTTATGGCTCCTTTACTTTTATTATATATCACTTTTACCAAACATATGTGCCTAGTGAAGTTTAGTTATTTGTCACATATAGTTTTATCAGTAAAGAGGACCCTTGTACCAGTCCCTTACAAAAAGGTGGTAAAGAATCTTCCACAAACTATTCCATAATTAAAAAAACGGATTCGAAGTGAAAATTTCTTGTAGTTAGTTAGTAGCAAAAGAATAGAGGGAATATATTTATATAAATAAACAAAATATGCAATACGAAAGATGTAAAAACTAAAAAGTTACCTACTCTTATAGTTAATACTATCCAACTTAAATATTAAAAACACTGATATATAAAATAAAAACATTTTTACTTCCAAAACTTTTTTAGCCTCAAAAAGTTTTCGCTTGTGCCACAGCAAAGATGCAAGTGCAAAGGCACAAGGCCAAGTTATACATGAAAAACCTTCAAAGTCACCCTAATTTATATCTAGTTATTATAAGTCTGAAGACTAATAGCAATTAGATGGACTTTATTAAAAAAAAATAAGAAAATAATAATTATATGTTGCTTAATAGTTTAACCTCTGGAATGACAACTTTTATAGTCTGAGCATCTCCAAAAGTATATATCAAAGACATTCTAACACTGATTTACCCTTGCCACAGCCCATTTTATGAGAGCTGTTAATAGCAAGTGCGTGCTCACCATGAGATTTGTCTTTTCCCTCCGAATTTTAAATAGTTTTCTAGAAATTAAATATTTAATATATATTTTTCCTATTTAATCACTACAGTGTTGCCTTTACGGCTTTAATTTGGTAATCTTGGATTTAAGCTCTGTAAACTTGTCTATATTCTTAAAATTATTTATTGCCACTTATTTTAAGTAATATTTTAAAACTTTCTGCGCTAATACGCTTCCTCGTTATTACTCCTAGTTGAAGGGATAGACAATTATTTCTTTTTTTTTTTGTTCATTCTTAAAAATTTTTAGTCCTTCGACTGAAATTTAAAATTTAACTTCTAGGGAGCCTCTCAAGTATGTTGGTGCTCTTTAGAAAACCTGTGCACAGATAAAATGGTTAGTCACAAAACCTTTTTTAGAATTTAGTAAAAAAAGTTTGGTAAGTAAAGTATTTAATCTACGGGAAAAAATTTAATAAAAAATACTTAGAGTTAAGCGACCCTGCTGAGAAATATGACTAAATTAATAATTATTCTAGCTTTTAATAATTCACTTAATATGTACATGAACAAATCAGCAGTATAAGGAAGGGAGCAGGTAATTATGCGGTTGTCTTTTTTTATATTCAAAATTCTTGAGTAAGTCTATAAAAACAACGATATTCATACTTGTCTGCCTTTAGTATTTTTAAGAGATAATTTCCTTACCAACAAAGTTATGATGTTTAAAAAAAGGAGGTAAATAGACAAATAAATTAAATAAAAATTAAATTACCAACATATCCAATTTATTAACTGACTTAAAAACCGACTTTAGGGGAGCCGCTAAAAATTGGCTAGATCATTTATAATATTTTAAAAATAATTTTTGGTATGGATGTAAGGAATTCCTATTAGCCGTAACAACAGCTATTACAGTAGCAAAAAGTTTTGATAAAAATTAACTTGGTTATATCAGGAAAGTAGACTCTAATATTACCAAATTTAAGGGTTCTTACTTTTGTTGCTCAAGTCACAAACATTTTTATAAAAATTAAAATTAAGTGTACTATCTTGACCCTCAAAAATGTTAAAAAGATTGTGATCCTGAGAGCAGTTGTTATTGCTTAAGTTGCGAGAAAGAAACTGGCAATAAAGACTTTCAGGAGCGAACACATCTGTGACAAGGCAAGAAGGATTTGAGCAAGAAGTCTCTTTTAAACAAGAAGGACTGAAACAAGGAAGAGCAGGACAAGTGAAATAAGAGCAGAGCGAATCGTTATACAAAAGTGCAAGTGGGTCGTCACAACTAAAAGAATCGCAAGGATTAAACGGTGAAGAACTTTTAAGTGGGTCAAAAAGAATTTCAGAGTTAAGGCTTTCACTATTCCTTTGTATAGCTTTTCGGTTCTTTGAACTTTTTGCCTGCTTCGCTCTAGAAAAAAGCTTAGAAGAATGTTGAATAGTTGAAATAAAAGAGCCTTTAGAGTCTGAGGAAGGTAAGTTTCTAGAAGGGTTTTTTAGTAAAGGTTTAAGGACCTCGTGAGCGTTGGCTTCGTGCCAAATATATTTTCTTTTAATATTGGACTCATTATTTACACGATTATTGATGTTTAAGTTAATATCTATATTATTAATAGTAACCCTATTATAATTCCCGATGCTACAATAACTTTTATCTTGTTCAGTCAATTCAGTATTTATAACATTACTACTGCTAGTATTTTCTTCGCTTTCAAAACAATTTTTTTTTTCATTATTATTATCAATACAGTGGCCTAAGTCAGTGTAGATTTTGCTTATAAATTTAATAAGGTCGTTATTATTCTTTTTAATCAATAGGCTTTCCACTAGCTCCGGAAAGTTTTTGTTTAGTAGAGGCAAACAAATTTCTTTGAGAGAATGTTCATTCTCATTGCTAGAAGGTTGACTTTGAGTTAATTTTTTTAAAGCCCAGTGAAGGAAACAAGCAAGTTTTTTTATATGAACATTTTCAATTTCAAGGGCCTCGCACTTCTGGGATTTTTTAAACAATTGTTCTTCTAAATTCTTTCTTCCCACCTCTAGAGGTTATATAAAAATTCTAAAAGAAAACATAACTCAAAGAATTTATAATAACCTTGCCGACGACGCCATTCCGCGCATCTAAGTTTGTTTTTTTGCCTCCTTGTTGGTTTAAGAGGAATATATTCGTCTAACAAATAAAAAATTTCGAAAGAATTTAATTTTACCCAGACAAAAAAAAGTGAAGGAGTTTTTGTACAGTACAATTTCACAAAAATTTAAAATAGAAGATAATAATTAAAAAAAACAAAATTGTTATTAATTGAAGTAAAAAAATATATATTTGTGGTTCAAAAGGAAGTTTATAATACAAATATAAAGTTATGTAGATTTAAATAGTAAAATATTCATAAAAGTATCCGCGATCAATTTTAAAATAAACTCACTTGTTGCTCGTTTCATTTCTTATAAGATTAAAAACTCTGCGTAGGCAGGTCACTTAGGTTTCGTTAACTTTCTATACTACAATAAATTGATTTTAACAGGATAGTTTATTACAAGTTTACTTGTAACTTTCGCTTATCACGTTCCTTTTGGTGGAGGCGGAATTGTTATTCAGCGTCAGCTTAATTAGGTAACCTTTTAGTACCCACTGAAAATAGCTTCTTTTTACTGTCTAAGGGATGTGCGGTGCAAATGAGTTCTATAGTTTCAAAGGTCTCTGTAATAATACTTTTTAAGAGTAGGCAGTAACACACCTAAAGATAGGACAATAAGTTAATTCAGTTACAAGTCATTTATAAATTAGTTTTGAATACGTTATCAATGTTACTGAACTATCATATTATGAAAGTTATTTCAAGTCATGAGAACAGCTATTAGTAAGCTAACAAAACAAGTATAAATATTTTTCATAACGAATACTCTTTACACGTTTATTTAATATATTAAGTTAAGCTTAATAATGTTGTTATAGGTTAAAACCGCAACTAGATTACTTTTTATAAAATCTTTTTATCACAGAATTTCCCCTCTACCTTTTAAAAAATTTAAAATAGTAAAACCTATTTTTGCATCACTACTTTATCTCTAGTACAAATTCAATTTGGCAGTAAGCGTATCGTTCCGAAGTCTATTTTTAAGAAAAGTTCCTAAAGTTTACTTTATATAAACGAGATGACCCTTTTACGACTCGCTAAGTGACCGATAAGAATAAAAATTAATAAAAGGTAAGTATGAGCGAGGTTTCTACTTAGACGTTTCTTACTATTGTAAAATTGTTTTTTTTACAAAAAATTCGTATATTCAATTACTTGGGACCTTAAACTTCATTGTTGAATACTAAAAAATTTATTTAGCTTACTACCATTAAATAATTTCTATGGATGAATAATCTAATAGTTTCCTATATACATATTTCGTAAGGGTTTTCCAATCACTCTAGTAGAGCGTTCTTTATACAAACACTTAAAATCATTTTTATATCTAAATAAATATGGAGGTTTTATAAATTAAAGCGAATCCAGCTGCATGTTTAAGTGAAGATAGCTTCGCAAAGTAAAAGTACAATATAGGTAAAACAAAATTCTTCTAATTATCTTTAGAGATTAACAGTAAGTTCAACAAAAACTTGTTATTTAAAAGGAAGGTAACAACGCACAGTGTTATAGAGAATCTTAAACAATTTTTAAATATATAAAAAAGGAAAAAACAAAAAAAATCAATATAATTTAATTAGACAACTGCTACGGGGGTGTTTCTACAAGTGCAAGTCAAATCAGTTAATAAAAATATTAATTTTTTTAATCGCTTTTATAAATTGTTTATAAGATTTGGTTCCAAACAAAAAAAAAGCATCAAGAAACCATCAACCTTGTAAGACAACGCAAAAAAAAAACGTCTTTATTGAGTAAAGCAAAGAACTCAGGGAGTTATCGATGATTTTTTTAAGTAAGAATTACTTATTGTGCGTGCTGCATAAAAGAAAGCGATTGTAATAAAAATGGGTAAAGCACGCAGCAAAAGTTAACGTATGAATATTTTGCTTGTGGTGTCCCAGGCAAGGTAATATATATAGAAAACAAATTATCTTAGAACGATGAAACTACAGGAAAGCTTGCTTCATGGAGAGGATTCCATGCATTGGGCTTTATCGAGTAATCATTTCCTAAGGCTTTGTAGGATTAGCTACAAAAGGTGACATAAAAAAAGTAAGATGCACAGAAAGGACTAGTCGCCACCAAACTCGCTGCAGGCCTAATACTAATTGTGTGGCCGTAGATAATTAGTTGTGAAAAAGTTTCATGGACTAACAATCTTCTTAAGCTCTACATCGTATTTATTTCAATTAATACATTATGCCAGAAACTTGCTGAAGCTGCAACTAATGAACTCAGTATTATATCAAATAGTCATTAGATAGGACTCCTAACTATCTCGCCAGCACCTTTAATAACGACTGGTTCTGTCGTTGGCATGAATAGTAATAAATTTGTCGACATGATTTATTTAACAAAATGTAATAAAGGTCAACTAAACTTTTTTCAATAGAGAGCAATAAGAGGTGTTAAGCGTCATAATGAGCAATTTCCTGGGGTTATTGGTGTACCTATAGGACTCCTAGCAAAAGTTTTGTACACTATACTTTCGGAATTTCGCATCTTTTCAGCCCTATAATTTTATTTAAGTGAGAATATAATTAGATAGGGCTATAAACTAGGAGTGAAAAAAAGCTAATCATAAAATTTTTTGCTACCAGTGTGAATAATAGTTATTTTATAGTTAAGAAGAAAAGTTAACTTTTGTGAATAAAAAAAAAGTACAGTCCTTAAGCTTTAAGCCACTACTTTAGTTGGTTACAAGTTTATTCCTTCTTATCTTAATTAATATCTAAAATTAGGCTAAATTTAAAATACTAAAGGATATTTTTTAGCACCAAGGATAAAGTGCTAATCTACTTTGGGAGCAAGC